CAAGCTCCTTCCTATCCCCTGACCCTCCCAAGCATATTTTTTAATTCATCATCCAAATCACACAAGGTTTTGCTTATTCATCATTACTTGAAAGGAACAGTCAGGCTTCAATCAGTCTAGAATTAGTTGATCTGTTTTCTAGAAGTCCTTAGTCCACAGTTTAAGAAACACTGCTCTAGAAGTTGTACAGGTAGTCCTCGACTTATCATCACAATAGAAACCAAAATTTATGTTGTTAACTGAGAGATTTGTTAAGTGAGCTTTGCCCCATTTTGCAATTTGTCTGGCCACAGTTGTTAAGTGAATCATTGCAGTTGTTAAGTTATTAACACAGTTGTTAAGTGAATCTGGTTTCCCCACTGACTTTGCTTGTCAGAAGATCACAAAATATGATCACATGACCCTGGGACACTGCAACCATCATAAATAACTTTCATAAGCTTTTTGAAAAGCATCTCTCCACCTATCATATATTCTCTCAGGAAAAATCTTTGCTTTAACTATGCAGATCTTCATTATACCAGAGAAATATTTGTATATTTCACAATTTTCTCTATCACTGTCTTCCTCCTTAAAATTAAGCCTTTTTATTTCTCTACCACACTATCCTTTATTTTCTTTATTCTTCAACTGAGCAAAGCAAAACTACTTACCAGCCTCATTTCTTTGCCAACAATAATACAATCACTAGGCATGCGGGCGGACACTGTGTTTGTCATGTCACTGTTTTAACATGAGAGTAATCCATTTTTTACTTTCATAATGAGCCAGGAGTGTTGCAAGCTCTTGCTGCTTTTGGCAAGAGTATCAAAAGCAACATAGCACTGTAAGATCCATTCCGCTTAAATATATATGAGGGAGCTGGGCAGTTTTTAAATATGATTAAGTAAATAAATGTGGTAATGAGCATCTTGCCTTGCATCACTCCCCATCCCCCACTAAGTCTATATTTTCATTTAACAAAATGGTGTGTATCTCAAATTGTTAAGCATTATACCTTCCTGTTTTTCACTTCTGTTGTCATCTCTTCCAACTTCACTATTTTTATAATATACACAGAAAATTGGGAATCATATACATCCTTGTTTTACTCTGAACCATTCTATTTCTCCAAGCTCAGTTCCTACAATATATTCTTATAAAGATTCCTCAGAAGAATGATCAGATATTCTGGCAACCCTCATTACTCTTACTTATACTGTACTTTTTGGCATGATCTACATAGTCAAAAACTCTGCTATATCTGATCAAGCAAAAGCAAACCTCATCCTTGGGGGGGGGGCAGAGTGTTGTTTCTCTTATCTGATTTACGTTATCTGCCTTATCTTGGGTCCTCTGCCTTTACGGAAATGTGTCTATTCATTTGGCATTTCCCTTTTCGTGTATGACTTTATTCTTTGTGAGTTGTATAGCAAAATTTCATTTGCAATTGCAATTTGTGCAATAGTATGGTAATTTGCTTTCTCCTGTAACTCTCTTCTTTGAATAGATATTACCCATGTTTTCCAATATCTTGGCCTTACAGTCTAGTTACATATTTGTAGGAGTCATTAACACTTTTACTGCCTTTCTTCATGGCTTTAAATCTCTATATTTGTTCTTCCTATTCTGCTTAATTAGCAGGCACCAATCCTGCAGGTAAAGCTGAACAGTCTCTGACATCATCTAGACAGTTCTTTTATTATCTTTGATGATAGGTAGTAATCATCATGAAAACAATGTACAGTATTCATACTAAGTTTACAATCTGTAAAAATAAAAGTTTAAGCCCTTAATTTGCACTTAATAATTTATTAATTTCTTAAATTATACATTCTATATAGCATGATTCAATTTTTTTTCTGGTAGTTTTAGAATTATAGTGTCTAAATTTTGCAAAACATAGAAATGGTTACAGACTAAAATGCACAACTTCATAAACATTTAAATAGAACATTTGTATTCAAAAGTCATTCTACACACATTTTCATAAAAATATAAAAAAATAGTTCAATCATTGATTCATACTTTAACTAGACTAGGATATTTAACATGTCCCCTCCCATATATTCCTCATAAAAAGGCTCTCACCAAAAAAAAAGAAACTAAAAAGAAACTGTATGGATTAATGAATACTTCCAATAGCTATAATTCATTACAATAATCTGTTATTTCTTTTCTGTAACCTACAAGAAATGGACTGCAATAATCTTTCATAATATGCATCTTCCATTCAAATTTATTATATATATATATAACTTGTGCTATGCAAAAAATAAACATTTTTAAATAAGTGACTGTAAATTAGAATATGACCAGATTAATCAAATGCATGTTATAGGCTAAGAATTTTTATGCAAAAATATCACAAGGGGAAATATTTAAAGATATCTTTTTTTATCCAGCTCCACTGAAAATAAATATTTTTCTCATTGAAAGCATTTATATAACATTTTTTCTAGGTGCCCAAAATAGCATGCAGACAACAAAGCAAACTCTTCCATTTCATAATGCTTTCAGGGCATATTTAATATTAGGGAAAGGCACAAAGATGAAACATTTCAGTTGCAGCACTGAATACTACTCTCCATGCACAGTGCAAAAACAGCTTAAAGGGAAGTCTTTAAGCTTGAACAGGTCTGATTAAAAAGATCAAAGCATTTGGCCTTGATTCAAAGATTCTGATACATAGTGGAGAGAGACATGTATGTAGTTGCCTGCAAGGATTTTTATTACAAAACTGAAGGTGGTCTTTGTTTAGTACTGCATATTTACTGTTTCTCTTTCAGTGGACAGAAGATCAGGCTTCTGGTCCAAACCATGTAAAAAGGAGTATCCTAGCCTTGTAGACAAGATGAGGGCATTGGGTACATTAAACCATTTAGATTTGGATGAGAAGAATAATTGCTATTACAACAAATGTCAAGCCACTATTTAAAGAATGACAAAAGTGCAGAAACAAGTGTTGCTAAAAAAATATATAATAGAACTGTTGCTGCCATATGTTCTCAATACAGCAGGCTTCTGCCTCAAGGTTTCCCTCTGATTTAAAGAGCAATTTGTTATTCATCCTGTGTTTAAATATGTACATGGAGAACCTCTATCCAAGCCATATTCAGAGGGATGAGGGGGTCCCATCTGGTCTTCAGGTTCAATCGAAGATCTCCCTCCTTCTAGAGGGCTGGAAGCAGCAGAGAAAAAAATGTCCACCTGTGTCAAGTGCTGATCAGAAATAAGTCTAACCTAAAATATGCACAATTTACAAACAGATTGAATTGATACTGTATTAGCAAAGGCAGTTTAAAAGCTTAATTACTACAAGAGGCAAAGGATGTGCTGATCTGCCTCCAGAAAAGTAATTTGGAGGCAGCAAGCTTGAAGTGAACTGGTTCTATCGACTTTTGGTTGCAGCATCGTCAACTGAAATCAATGTTGCCTTGGAGTGAAATAAGTTTCTTATCTCTGGCTTAAATGCTTTTTGCAAGGGGATACCCAGGAATATTAATTGATTTTTGAGTTAAATATTATAACTTTCTATTTTAGAAAATGTCACTTTTGGCATATTTCTTTACTTTACAATGTCATTGTGTTCTCTTTCCACTTTATAATAAACATAAGTACACTCTTTTTTAAGCCTGTAATAGAACCCTAAGAATTTATTCTGAAATCATTACATGTCATCATAAACAAGGATTTGGCATTTAAAGAGAAAACTTAAAATGATCTAGTAAAGTATTCACTCTGATTACTTTTACATTCCACTAAATTACAACCATAATAGCTCAAGGATTTTGGGGGGCGGAGAGGGGGACAATTAATAACTGGCAAAAGGTAAAAACAGAGGCTGAAAGGAACAGAAACATTGATTACTCGGTGGCTAGCTGGCAATATTTTTACCAAATGTAAAACATAGCATGGAGTCTTTCTTCCAAGGATTTCTGGGCTGAAATGTTTATCCAGTGACCAGTTGCCAAGCTAATGCTTTACATGAGACTAAATTTAAACACATCCCTTTCTCTAAAAAGAAGAAAAATATGAAAGTAAGTTATATGACTAGAAGTAGGAGTCAGGAAGTACCCCAAACACTTTTATTTCTCTAACTTCCTCTAAACTGGAAATAATAGTATAAACAAAAGCCCGTAAGTTTTAATTGTGAAACTATAGCATAAACTATTTTTATTCCTTCTGGCTACCTCTTACTTATAGTATTAATATATATTTCTATTGGAAACACAATAGATTACTGTAATGAAGTTTTTCTTTGCCTGGAAGAGTGTATGAGGGAATAGAGCTTACCTTTCTCTTCCCCCAGCTATCATATCCTCTTCCACAAGTTTGTGTACTGTATAAGTAGAATGAACTAGCCAACAATTATTCTACCCCAAGAGCAAAAGGAAGTTGTACGTGGCAGTCAGTCAAAACCTAATGTTACAGGACGGCTTGCAACAAGACTTGAGAGAGAGAGAGAGAGAGAGAGAGAGAGAGGGAGGGAGGGAGGGAGGGAGAGAGCTTAATTGTAGTAAGATACATACTCCTCAGTATAATGCGAAGATCTCTACCCATCATCATTTTGCATATGCAGACAAAGTCCAAGAGAGCAACTGAGACAAATAGGCTCAACAATCCTACTGGACTGAGATGGTAATAAGATCGGTATATAGGATACCGATCGCAAAAGAATCCAATTAACATAAATTTGATACTGAGCCATTAACTGACTACAATATTGAACTATTTTTTTTAACTTTTTCAAACAAGTTTTTTCCCCCCCCTGTACAAAATGCAATATTGTTCCCTCTGTAACTGAGGAGGAACATTAAATATGGCTTTGGGTTTCTTAGCCATCTGAAATCGAACTTCATATTCTCCTTCCCTCTTACTTAGACTATAAAACTGATGTAAACACAAGATTGCTGAAGGACTATAACACAGGATGATTCAGAAAATATATTCTGCTTTCCGGCATGTAAACATCAGGATGACTGGACCTTAATTCATATAAATATTAGATTTCTTTAAAAATTAAGAAAAAAGGTAGCATTCCCTATTAAACAGTAATCCACAAAAATACTCTTTCAGTAAGTATTACTTGCCATTTAACAGCGTATGGCCTATCAACTACTATGTAAAAACAAATACCGTTTTACAACTGTAAAAACAGACAACCGGTTAGTTTAGTTTGGCCATTATGCATTTTCGACGCGAGTTATTTTTTTACTGCCACCATAGTCCTAGCATCGCACTAAATTGTTCTTCTTCTTTTTCTTTGGTGGTTCATCGTCTGTGCTGCTGTCTGTGCTGCTGCTGCTGCTGCTGCTGGAAGAACTTGACTCTGTTTCAAAGTCAGAAGAACTAGAAGAACTACTGGATGATGGAGAAGACGAAGAACTGGATGTGCTTTCATCACTATCACTGTCATCTGACGAGGAGGAGGAGGAGGAGTCATCGCTCTCTGATGAAGACTCGCTAGCTGAGGTGATGCTGCTGCCGCTGCTGGAACTTGTCACACTTTTAGACCTGGCGGAAGTTTTAAAACGACCAGCAGACATTATTTAGCAGTTTTACTAAAAGAAAGATTCTAGATTTTTAATAGGAAAAACAACTAAAAACACAGCCTCTTTAAGGAAAAGGTGAAAGAGACAGGATCAGAAAAAGGAAAAGAGGCAAGATTGTCGTGCAGGAATACAAGCTAATTTGAGGGCTAATCCACATGGAGCTCCATTTCCATCTGTCCTGTTTGCCATCATTTGCTCCCTAGAGACTAAAATGGACGATCTGAAACTTGAGCTGGCCACGAACAAGGAGTGTATATCAGAGGTGGTGACCCTTTGATATACACTTCGTATGCAACGAAATTTCATTTTGATGTATGCCAATTGGTGTACATTCAAAGTGACAATAAAGTTGTTGTTGTTGTTATTATTATTATTATTACTATTATTATTATTATTATTAGGCGACAGCTTGCATCTTCTCCCCCAATATTCTGACAGTCACTCAAGGGCTGACATTTTTTGCATTGGGCCTATGCAAATCATTCTGTGAGATTTTGCCTCAGCACACATCTCTCAAAGCAGAAGAGTCTGCTGAGCTCTTTTCAAGGCTCTACTGAGACTTTTCATGCATGATTACAGGATAAATGGCATGTCAAGGAGCAAATCCTTGCCTGGAGGAGGAGTATGATGGAAAGGGACCCTTATCAAATGCTTTGCACAGGCTTACCATGTAGTCATCAATAATCATAAAAGAATAACAAACATCAGAAAAAAGCTTTGTTGCTTTAATTAACACACTGAATTGATTCAAGTAATAATTCTCCAGGCGTATCAGTCTATGCAATGATATAGAAATTACTAGAAAATCATTTTCTACTGTGTCAATGATTTACAGCAGGCATTAAGTTCATGTGTCTTCTCCTGCCCCCTTCTTCCTGATGATGATAAGGCAGGAAGTGTTTGCAGATACTTAAGTATAGTTTTCTGCAGCAAGGTTTCTATGGTGCATTATATAAGAATGCATCCATTTTATATGATCTGAATTGATTGTAACATGTTCCAGGCAGTTTAAGCTTCTTTTTTAGCGCTTAAGACCCTAAACAGTTTAGAACCTCACTATCTCGCAACCATTTGTTTAAGAGTGTGCTGATAAACTGGCTCTGCCAGTTCCATTGCTATTGCTGCAACTGCCAACCAGGTGACTGGCATGTCAACTGTTGCAGCTCTGCTCTGGTCTGAGCTGGCTCACAAAATTCCAGAACATTTAACAATTGGCTCTTACAAGCATACCACTGGATTTAACTCATTAGAGCTTGTCCAGCAGGAAAGGCCCTCTTAAAGAAGCTCTCACTTTTTAAGGCCAGTTTGGCCAGCAAATAGAATGGCCTTCTATATTTTTCTCAAGCTACAGAACGTACTGCCTCAGAAGTTGAGTTTGGTGTCTGGATCTTTTTGCTTTAAGTATCCAGGAAAGGTCTTGGGCTCTTGGGGGGGGGGGTCACAGTGATAGGTCAGAGAAAGTCTGAGTCATTGTGCAGCAGCTTTGAAAAAAAGCAGAAATCCATGCTAGGAAAGAGACTAAAAATAAAACTGTCGTCATTATAATGGTCCTATAAAAATCTATAGTATACCCACACCCATAATATTGTAAACAGTAGGACAGTTTCATGGGGGGGGAGGCAATATCATAGATATGGAAAACTACTGAAGATGAAACAAAAATATTTTAAGGACTCAAAAGACTTCCCTCCTCACGTTTTATTTATTAAGTCAGTCACAGCAAGTAATCGCCCCAAATGCCTCTAGGCAGCTAACAATGTTTAAAATAAATGTAAAAGAAGTACAATCACAACTACAAAATTAAAATACATGCTAGCTGAGAAAAATACAGCAGTCACTAATATAGCTAGGAGGCACCAGCTTAAGAAAAAGTAATGCAAGGAATGAAAATTGTTGAAGTAGAAAACCAGTAGAACCAGGCTAGAGAGCACTGTTATGTCAACACAAATCAGGTGCCTTTCAAGGCCTTCAGGAGAACATCCAGGTATTTACTGACTGGGAAACATACACAGAAGGGGTTTGATTTATGTATAACACAAGGGATACATCTTTTGGCTTGTGGCTTCATGCCTGTCTGATGAAAAAAAAAAAGACTAATCAATCCGAGTTGTGTCTGAGAGCTTTCTACTAAGTAGACCAATTCCTGAAAAAAGGTGATGTGCCTGGAGAGCCAAGAATTGCAGTGAGCCTGCGTAAAGCCTGACAACTGGGGGATGGGAGATGAAAACATTCTTGAGGTACATTTCCTTCGCAAAAATATAGGATCAGGTTTTCATCCAATGAAAACGACTGAAAGGAAATTTAGAATAATTTTTTTTTAAAAAAAAAATATTCACAGAGCATGTAACTAGCCTGTGAAATTCATTACCAAATGTGGTGATGACCTAGATATATCTTTAAAAGAGGATTAAATGAGTAGTCAATCAAGGGCTTAGTCTTGAAGACTCAATGTTTCCCTTGGGTTGGCAGAGTGCCTCCAAATACCAGTTACAGAGCAACAATGACAGGAGGGATTAGGTCTCCAACCACTGTTTATGAACACCTCAGAGACATTTGGCTTGCCAATGTGAGAAACAGAATGCAGGGCTAGTATGGGCTTAGGCCTGATTTATCAGTTATTCTCATGTTCTTTTTTAGCCAGCCTTTTTCAATGTGAAAACGTTTTGACATTTAAACCATTTTATTATATTCCTGTATTGGCATTTTTATTGTTAGCTGCCTTGAGTTCTTTAAGAACAGAAGGAAAGGATATAAATCAAAATAATGAATAATCATATTAAAAAGAATTTCTTCTTTCAAGCTAAGAAAGGATCGGAAGTGGAGAGCATGTCAGTATGAGTCAAAGTGACAGATAGCAATACTATGAAACTATTAATGTGATAAAATCTATTTATTTTTTTAAAAAATATTTCTTTACATACCTTTTTTTCTTGCTCTTTTTATCTGTAGTACATTCTCCGGAACTGATTGGGAGAGAAGGGAATCAGGTGGAAAGGAATTACTTCAATTAATATGTACTTTTTAAAAAGAGTTCAATCAGAAACCTGCACTAACATTAGATCAAAATCAGTTTCTTAGCAAATGAGAAATTACAAAGGCAATGGTGGAAATCTAAGATATAAAAAAATGAACAAAACAATAAAAAAGAACTAAATAGAACTGCATATTTAAACTATTTAAATAAATATTATTTATAAATCATTCAAAAAGTTTCATAACCAAATAGCATATAAATATTGTTCATTTATGAAAAAAATATTTTGATATATTTTGGTTTCTTTTGACTAAGACAAACTTAAAAGAGAATCAGTTGTACATGTTTAATTGTAATGGAGTATCTTAATATAAATACTTCAGATCTACAAAGCAAGTACATTGAACTTTTTTTTTAAAAGATGTTTTAAATATTAACCTTTAATCTTAACTAATTCTTTTCTATAATCTTAGTTTAAATCTATCTGCCTACTACATGCATACAGGTCAAAACCTATTCTCAATTCTTAACAAATCAAGCAGCAACGAAATAACAGAATGCAGAATAAATTATAAATTATGATATTTAATTGGCCAATAAAACATTTCAATTTTTGAAGAAAAGATCTTAGCCATATAAATAGGAGTACAGACTGGGTAGTTCTTTGGTTAGTCTAGTTACTGTTTAATTATAATTTTAATGTTCTTAGAATGTGCAAAGTTCATTGAGCCAGAAATGGACCATTTCAGAGAATTCTAGAAAACTGTGTTTCTATTTGGATCATCTGAACTCCTGGATGTACCATTTCAGGGACTATTTGGCTGTTTCATCGGGAATGTTATGTCCAGAACACATTGGACTACTGCTGATTCACAGAATTTAATTCTGGAAAAGGCTGAATCTCCACCCAGAATAGCATGGTCCAAACTGCCTCGCTGGAATTTGGCACAGTCCAAAGAAAAACAGAACATTCCATTTCCATTTAATAACGCATAAGCCTGAATTACATAAATAACTTTTAACTATGAGGGTAAATAGAGAGGGAATGGGCAGGAAAACAATGCTAGAAACAGAAATGGAGTGAAAGGACTAAAAAGTAAAAAGAAAAAGAAAATGAAGAATTGCAACAAAAAGAGAACTGAACTAGTAGTAGAATAAGTGAGAATAACCAAGGAACAAAAAAAAAAAGTGATCACATAATAATTCCAGGAAAGAAAACAGTTCAAAACTGAACTGGAACAATGTATTTACTGTTGACTTAAATAGCTGCTGCCAGACTTCTGTTGCTCATGATAGACAGATATCAAAAAGAGCCCCCACTGCAATTATTTTACATACTGATTCAGAACCTTGAAAGAGGCTTGCTCAGACTTACTCTAATTTATGTCCAAACATACAGTATATCCTTACGAACTTATGTCTATTTTAATGGTTTGCCCATAATTAAAGAGAAGAGGCAGTGGAATAATATTCTCTTTTACCATGCACAAGTTTCAGTCTTTATGAGATGTGTCAAACATTTTCAATTTGAAGCATTTCAATTTCAAAATAGGTAGTTCTGATCTCAAACTGCAGCCTTGCCAGAACCCATTCCAAAAATATAGCAGAATGTTCACCACATTATTTTTCTTGTGCAATTATTACCATCTCCGTCAAATTATTATTTACACTGTGTAAGATGTTACTAATGGTGAGCATTAACCTGACCACTATTGGAACTATTTTAATGTCAAGATTGCATCTGTAGGGTCCTAGAATCCCTTCCCCCCCCCAAAGGTTAGAGGGCAGAGACAATTCAGATTGCAGTGTAACTAGCTGTGCCTGAAAGAAGATGCCCCGTTGAGCAAATTTAAGTCCACTTTTCCCCTCTCTACTATTGTGTTCTAGCAGCTTCTCATAGTCCAGGGGTCTGCAACCTTAAACTCCCAAAGAGCCACTTGGACCTGTTTCCCAGAGAAAAGAAAACACTAGGAGCTGCAAAACTTGCGCACCGGCGAGGGGGGAGGAGAACTTGATTGAAGAGTTTAATTAAAAAGAAATAGAGGCTGCTGTGCATGAGTTCTCGTTCTCTCTCTCTCTCTCTCTCTCTTTCTTCTCTCTCTCTCTCTCTTTCCTCTCTCTCTCTCCCTCTTTCCTCTCCCTCTCTTTCTCTTTCATCTCCCTTTCTCTTTCCTTTGTCCTCTTTCTCTCTCTCTTTCCTCTCCCTCTTTCTCTTTCCTCTCTCCCTCTTTCTCTTTCCTCTCTCTCTCTCTCTCTTTCCTTTCCACCTCTCTCTCTCTTTCCTCCCCCCTCTCTCTCCCTCTTTCTCTCTCTCTTTCCTCTCTCTCTCCCCCCCCTCCCTCTCTCCGATCTTCTGCTTACCTGGCAAGCTGGTTTCAGGCTGTTCTGCAACAAGCTGACACACATTATTGGGCTGGCTCTCTCCTCCCCTTCCTGCTTCCTGCAGAGATGCAGCAAAAGGAGGAGCCCCGCCCAATAAGCTTGTCAGCTTGTCGGAGAATAGGGTGAGGTCACTCTTTTACACAAACACACACACACAGAGAGAGAGAGAGAGAGAGAGAGAGAGAGAGAGAGAGAGAGAGAGAGAGAGAGAGAGAGAGAGAGAGAGAGAGAGAGAGAGAGAGAGAGAAAGCACAAGTGCCTCTGTCTCTGTTTCTCTGCAAATGGCAGAGGAGGCTGTGAACCGCAGGAGAAGGCTCAAATCATTGGTTTCATAGCCAATGATTCTATAGCTGGACAAAAGTTTGCCTCCAAACCTTCTCTGTGATTTCCCCTATTCACATGAGGCTTGACCCTAAGGCACAATCTTTATCCTCATGATAGGACTTTATGAACTCCTGAATGGGTTTAAGTTTGAAATGGAGTGCTTTAGTATCACAGTAAGTATTGCAATGATGTAACAACTGTGTTGAGACAGCCCCATTTCAATATCAGAATGCTTTTGGTAAGATTCCCGTGAGACGTCAGAACTTTGCTTAATTAGACTTGGTCTAGAAAACTGCTTTACTGTTAGTGGGCTTTACCCTGAAAGCAATAAAGATTTTTTCAGAAATCTAAATGATTCCTTTTTCCTGAATTTGCTTGTCTCATGGGACGTAAAAAGTTAAGAAGCTTACCCATCTCCACTATTTTCTAACATTTTTCTAGCCCTTCATGTAACCCTGCCAGATACATGTTAAAACAGAAAAGTTGTATTTTTGCCAATATAAGATTTCATCTCTGTTTTGGAAGCTGAGAGAGAANAGAATTAATGTTTTATTGACCTTGTCAATACTATCAATACCTCTACTGACAGGAGGCCGTTCATTTAACTCCTGATAACCTCACCCAGGATTCTCTCAAGCTAAAATGAATCCTTTATAGCTTAGCTTTCAGGATTATTTGGGTTATAGTGTTATGCATGACATTCTGATACATTTTTCCCCAATGGTACAGAACTTGTTAAAAGCTTTTCACTCTTTTTTCTTTGTACATATATATTTTTCTATAAGTGACATGTAATCTTTTATATAGTATATCATACCTTTGTTGTAGTAGCTGGTTCTCTTTTTCTTTAAGTGCTTTTTTAAATTCTGCTGTCCGTGATGGTCTATACAGATATTTTCTTTTCCCTGTACATTCATATGTCCAGTGTCCAAATTCCAAACATTTCTGACACCTTACATGTTGTTTATTTGCCTCTCTGTGGAAATACATAAAAGTGATTGAGACCAATTGTTTTTTATTTAAAAAGTCAGATAGAACAGAAATTTGCTTGTAACTAGATGGCAGTTTCAAACTAACTCCTGCTAGTTATATTATTTATAACTTGATAATTACTCAAATCCTCACAATTCAATAAATTTCATTTGTTTAATCAGTTTATCTTGTTATTCATCTTGCTAATGATTCTGGGTCGATAACAAAATCTAAAAACCAAAGAAATCAGCAATCAGCCCCATATATGATAAAATAGCGAGGTTTTAAGAACTTTCTGTAAGGCCAACTAGGTTGGGGCTAACTTAATGTTGCCTAGGGCAGGTGCTCCAATAGAAAAATCATGTTTTCTGAGACATGCAAGATGGCTTTTGCTAACCAAAGAAATTCAGTATGTTCCTCCTGATAAATATGATGGGATGGATAATTAAAGAAGGGTGATTCCCTCAAATAACCAGTCCCCATCACACGAAAGGTTTTATAGATACAACACAAACCATAAATTGTACCTGGAAGCCTATTGAGAGCCAGTTAGCTTGAGTAACAAAAGTTAACATGGCCATATCAGATGTAGCCAGAATTCTAGTTCCCCGATGTCCTTCAAATCAGCCAATGTAGAGCCCATTTCAGTAGTCCAATGGAAGATAACCACCATAACTTATCATGAACAGTGTGTCCTGATCCAGGAAGGGCACAACCAGCAACATAAAGCTATTCTTGGTCATAGTTGCTACTTGTTCCTCAAACAGGAGCCATGAGTTTAGGAGCACCCCCAAATAGCACACTGATTCTGTCTATAATATATGCCCATCCAGAATTAAGGATGATAAATTACTGGCATAAGGGTGTCCTAGCGCCCACAGCCACTCAAGATTTGCTAGAGTTGACTTCTGGTTCCGGATCGCGGTGCTTCTAGTTGCATGAAGAGACGTCTCCTCGTTGGCTAGCTTCCCTCTGCCGGTAGACCCTTATGCTGGTCGAAAGTCACCCTGGAGGGTGCGACTTCCGTCGACGAGGCTTCGCTCGGCTGCAGAGGAGCAGCGGCTCCTCCAGCTGTCCGAGCCAACTCTGAGGGCCAACGGAGAAGAAGATCGGCCAGTAAAATGGCCGATCACCTAGCTGCTCCAACTGCAAGTCAAAGAACATCTAAGCATTAAGAACCACTGTGGTGAACCTGGGTAAGACTTTTCCCTTGCTCCTCTCTTCATTCTATCCTGCTTTTTTTTTGCCTGTTAAGAGCCTTGTTGGAATTACTTCCCTGCCTTGAAAAAGCAGCTTCTATGTCTGGGAAGAAAGGGGTTGAACAAAAGAATAGAACAAAATTTTAAAGACTATACTTTATTCTTATTTGCTTTGGGGTACAGAAAAAATTCTTTCCTAAGAGCTGTACTATTATTTTATGCTGGAAGATTATTTCTTTTTCCACATTTTATTTTAAAAGATAGAAAAAAAGGGGGGTAAATGGTGTCTGGAAAAGATTTTTTTTAATCTATTGAGGACATCTAGTGGCGAAAACCTAATACTGCAACTTCTGGCTATTCTTTGGAGATGGAATAGACTTGACCTTCAAACTACTTTTGAACAGAAAAGATAAGCTGATGCAGCTGTGGGAATTGTGAGGGTGGATACTGCTTAACTTTTATTAAATACAGCCTCCACAAAAAGAAAAAAGAGACTCTCTTCAATTACTATTAAAATGGAGAAATCTCATTCACAATTAAACTGCAAACTTATATTGGAAAAGATCTATGAGGCTACTGCAGAAATATGTGCTACAATGAAAGAGTTTACTACAGAATTAAGAACCAGAAGTTTTACTTCAAACCTTCAAACTGATCTCCAGACTATATCTGACCATTCTATAAATCAAAAGATACTAAAAGAGGAAACAACTGAGATCAAAGAGGAATTTATTTTACCTTATAAACATTCCATCTATAGCTTTGAGGATCAGAAGAAGCAAAGATTGAGACTTGAATTTTTAAAGCAACGAAGCTTTAAGGATGAGAGAAATAGATGCCTAATGCAGAGGATGGGATTCCTACTGTTCCAAAAGGCACTGCAAGCAATAAAGAGAGATCTATCGGCTGAAAGGGAAGCTTGGTGATGGAAACCTGCTTGGCATAGAAAGAAGGCCAGAATAAGACTGAAAAGAGAAATTTAAAATTATGTGTAATGGATTAAAAGGCACTGTTGATTTATGGACTGTTTTAAGGATTAAGAGTTAGAGTTAGAAGTAAGAAGAATGTAGTTTTTGGAATAATAGGTTTATTTTGATGAAAATTATTATGTATTGGAATGGAAAAAATGGTGGCTTTTTAGATTTGGATTGTTTCAATAATTAATTGAGTGTTTTAAATTAGTAAGATGATGTTTTTGTCTGATAACATAGATGTGATAAGGCATGATAATCAATTGGATGAAATTTGAATTTTGTTTAATGAACTGAAATATTTAAGGTTTAATATTATTTTGTTATCTTAAAGAGATTGCTCGATTGATGGATTATATATATATAGGGTAGATTAATATTTTATTTTAATTAGGATATGTATTGTGTAGTGGAAGAAGAAATAAATGAGACTTGTGATAAAATGAGGGATGTGAGAGATTAAGAATTAGAATATATTTGGAAGGGATACCTGAATTGATAACTTGTCGATTTAAAGTTAAATTTGATTATATTAATTGTAAACTTATAAAGTTTTAAAACAGGTTTAGCAGTTATAGAAATCTAAATTAGAAATGGAACATCTTAAACGTATTATGCTATTTGAAGGAAATAGAGAGGGGACATTGAATGTATTGAGTTGAGTTATTTATATATGGTTTTATTTTTGGATGTTTGATTACCCCAACACCACGGTGTGTCATGAGCACTTTGTTCTAAGAAAAAAAACCCAATAAAATGTGTTTCAAAAAAAAAAAA